AAAAGTCAGTTTAATAAGGTTCTAAGGCCTACACGTTTTAAATTAGTCTAATAGTTAATTAATCACTAATATTCATTACTGGGATTCCCAGGCGACATCATCCGCATGAAATTATAAAAATTTCATTTTAAGTTCACATTTGTCAAATTATCAATTGCAAATGTCTAAATGACATGACATGATGTCAAACTATGGAAACCTTGCTTCCTTGATGTTGGCAGCAACTTATGGTCTCTTTCCCACATTAGGGTTTTTATCCAAAATATTTACCCCTAAGTTTAACGGCGTGAAAGTATATAGCCTAAAGCGTGACGTAAGTGTAGGGCTTTTTATTAAAAAAAGAGTTATTCGAAAATATGCTGTATTTGCTGACATCTTAGGCAACAAAAAAGTGTGTGTTTACGCTTTATTATATTAGTATAGATGTCTTTTAACGGACTCAGAATGATTGTTTTAATTTCTTATCTAATTAATTTTAAACAGATTAAGGGCCTGTCCCACCACTGGCTGATAGAGGCTCAGATAGCTTAAAAATAACGACACGTCTGACAAGGAAACAAAATCCTACATCCATCACATGTTTTACACATTCGATTGTTATCAGATAATTTGGTTGGACTGACACTAAAACAGAACATCGGTGGCTCAGTGGTTTAAGCACTTGACTTGTAATCTACAGGTCTTGGGTTCGAATCCCACCGTACCAATGTGATTTTCGAATTTTCGATATGTACATAATTTACCCGACGTTCATACGGTGAAGGAAAACATCGTGATGCAACTTGCACGTATTTCCGTAGAATTTCAAAGATATGTGTGAAGTCAACCAACCCGCAGTGGGCCAGCATGATTGACTATGGCCTAGTCACCCCTAACTTAGGGTAGGTGGTGTCAGTCAGACACTAAAACTAGACTACAACACTGATTTAATGAGGGCATTACAAGAACACCTTATAACTGTTCAAAAGACATTCAGGATTATTATTTAAGGGCATTGGAGGTCGATTTATAAGATAACTGTTATCTGATATTTCAGTTGTTTATCAGCACATAGCTTTTGTAATCAGTGTTATTAAACATTTTCAGATTGTCCAATTTTATAAACCCTTAAATACATGAAGTTTCAAATTTGATAACGGGGTTACAAATTGCATTGGGCTGTTACGTTATTTTAATACTAGCTTTCGCCTGCGTCTCTGTCCGCACAGAATTAAAATAAAAAGCAAGTAGCCTATGTGTTCTTCCAAACTATCCTATACACCTATGGTTCACCAAGATCCATTCAGCCATTTAGGCTACAAACAGTAACAAAGATCTATCCATCTAAACTTTCGCATTTATAATAGTAGTATGATCAGGCCGTTTGCATGTTACCTTTGACTGATAATTAGATATCTTTAAGTTAAAAAACAAAAAAGCGCATATCACTAAAAGATATTAAAACGATGTTTGGACCCACTAAACAAATAAGAAAGAACAAGACACATTTGCCATTGATGCGGAACCAACAATTTTTAAACACATATGGAATATCAAGCAATGTAACTTAGATATGCTATGAAACTTACTGGTTTATTTAAGTAGATATGTTGGTAAGCCCTTAATTGAAGAGAACTTTAAAAGTGACAAACAATCCAAACAAATACTTAGAAAACTTTAATGAGCTATAATTTTATATTTTTAGCAAATTAGTTTTCAGTTATCTTGTACATCTTAAAATCTTACATTTGGTCAATATGTGATGTGGTGAACCATTTAATAGAATAGGTAATATGATTCTGGAAGAACAACTTACTTTTTATCTGTATTATTAATCTGTGTTTACTTTTTGCCTGTCTAACATGAGGGTAATGCTAAAAAATAAATGTGAATCGCTTCCTTTATTGTTAGCTTCTACCCAGCAAGCGGAGACAATTTTTGTATAACAAGCCCTTTACAATCCTAATTATTTTGTACAATTTCATCTTGTGTAACTTTTTAACAGCTAGAGTAGTTTAAAGCATTACATAGGTATATTACTTTAATGATTAAAATTAATACTCTATGAAAACATTAACCAATAATGAAATCTCCGAAGTGATGATTATGAAAGGAGGATGATATTGTGATGGTTTTGTAAGAATAAATATGTGACTTGTACTTCTGTACAAATTCTGAAGATTCAAGAGTGTCTTACTTGTCTCACGAGAATCATCGGATCTTTTTAATCTTTGCGATTTTTTAAATAAATTAGTTAAAAATGAACATTTCCGGAATCTATCTTATTTTTCTTCCCTCATTTAAATACCTTACACTATGGTATTAATTTAAAAAACTTAGTTTTAACACAACATTCCTTGTCATACAAGTCCTTAGCGGTACTGATTCTAATATTATAAATTCATTGCTCTGATATAATTATTGACAGAACTACATAACAATCTTATGAACTATACATATATGATTGATTGATTATATACTACCTACACCCATGTCTTTGATGCAAAATTAAACTATACAAAATACTAAAATTTTTATAAGATACTACAATATGTGAAGTAGAATTTTTATTACAACCTTGGTGAGTAAAAAATATATCCGCAAACTAAAATTGATGACAGTAATTTCAATATGAAGGTGAATCCTACAAAATAATTTACTTTAATAGACGGAACATTTACTTCGTAACAAATTTGCAATACAATTACGAAAATACTCAGGCACCTAATTTGAAATGGGGCCAGTGCCACAATCAGACAAGCATCTGGCATTGGACTGCCTAAGAAAGGACACATATGCATTGTGCCGCCAAAATGATTCAATTATACGCCTAAAGTGAAATGAAAGATGTTATTACAGTACCACACTTATCTAAGTAAACACTGATAGTAATTGTTATTGTACCATTACTCCTACAAAGTTTTAACGATAAATTGTACCTTCGAAGCAACGAGAGAGGTCATGAGGGTTGCTAAAAAGACTTGGTTTGATAATGGACTATCTTCGTACGTGAAACACAGACCCCAGGAACATCCATAACCTCTGCCGTTCAGGAGGTGAACCTAGAGTTTAGAGTCAATTAAAGGTCATAACAACCCTCTGATTGCTATTTGAGATCTACTTTTGCATTAAAGGACGGTTTTAATTCATTATTTTGATGATTATTCCGTAAATGCGTATGATCTTTGTATACAGCTGACATAAAGAGTAGGGTCGACGCAAAGACGACTCGAAGCGCCAAATCACTCCTAACATTCTCAATAAATAGTGACATGAAAGCCGATTACTATAAATTCTACGTACCTTCATCTACTCCTTAAAAGCTTATACTTCAATTAGGACTATAGTAACGGGAAATAAATCACTGTAAACACACAATAGCACAATCTTGACAAACACCACATCAAACGTCCATTTACCGACTGCAGCGACAATCGGTCATAGCGGCTATTTCTAGAACTTTTACACTTACCAAAAATACTATAGACAACAGGTATTTTTTACAGATTCTATATTATTTTGACAGTAGAAAAAAAAATAATTTTCAACTGCAATGTCTGAAAAGAAAGCACAATCGTTAATTACATTTGGAAGAAACGTTTTACAAAACAATTTTTAAGAAATGTGAGCTTGTCTTACTGCGGGTTTTCCCTAGGCGAAGCTTGAAAAATACATCGTAGGTATTTTACCTTTATGTTACCAAATCTACGTATAATGCATTTAACCAAGGATATTAGTAACTCATGATAAAACCTAAATAATCATAGGATACACCTTAACTGGGGACCTAAATTCTTAAAGAAAAAGTTTGTATCACATCTGTCCATTGAATCCATTGTTGCTCATTTGGCCTTCATCATCATCATCATCATAATAATCACCAGATAGCTATACGCCCCACTGAGGGGTTCAGAGCCTACCCTAAGGGCTATTTTACCCTTACCTTACTACCATAAAAATATATGTAGCTGTTGTAGGTAATGCAAAGCCAATGCAAACGAGTTGAATTAATTTATTTAATTTGGTCATTTACGTGTAAAAGAATTTAAAAAATAGAGCAGAGGCTCTATTTACATTTTAAACACGCCCTCAGTTCAATAATCTTGCAATAATTCACTTTAGTTTATTTGTAATCGTTGCTGAAAATGAAGAACGAGTGTGTATTGAATTTAAATTTATGTTAAACCGATTTCTTACACGACCTCATGAACTCAGTCAATAAATTGACTAAGTTTTATACCCTATTCAGAGCATTCTGGGTATTTGATTTTAAAAGTCGCCAACAACATATCGGATAATATTTTGAATAGGAATTAAAAAATACGAATATGGTGGAAGTTAGTAAGCTCATGTTGAATAATTCGAAAATTGGTGAATTATCATGTGCTAGTCTCCTGCATCCTTATACGGACAGTTGTTTATCAGCATTTCGTACTATGTTAAAATTGTGCTTGAAGGGATCATTTTTATTTTGGACACCTATACATGGCATTAGCATCGTAAGTAAATTAAAATAAACGTAGAACATTCATTATAAGTTATGTTTTAAATGAGTTTGTAACAAGTAATTGCTGTTTACTTACTTTGAATGGAAAAGTAGTTTTATTTAACCTTAAACATACATTCAAAACTAATTATTTTCACAGTATTTTAGTATGTAAAATTATTTTATATATTGATTTCAAATTCGTTACAGAAATCTGGCACCGAGTTTTAATTATAAGTAAAAACCATGTTATTACTGAATTTAATAAGATTGAAAGGGATGACAAAACGTAAATCGTACTCGGTATAAGCAGTGGAAGCCCCCTTTAAAATAATTACCTTTAATTATTGTAAAAATCGTGATTATTACTCACGACTCGCTTGTTTTAAGAACAAGTGAAATCAAATTACGTTATGCACTGAAGTTAGCGTATGTTATTATTATAAAAAAAGTACTTAAATTAATAATGGCTTCCGAACTGCTTCTTGTTTTTTGCTCGGTTCGCGTTGGTCTGTGCTTGGCATTGACATTTGACTTGACAGTTTTATACGTGACACCTTACCAAGTGGTACTGTTTGCGAGTTAATTTATAAAAATATATCCATTTAAGTATTAGTTAATTAGTTAATAATAAATATAAAACGGGACGATATAAAAGTAATGGAAATGTTCATAAACAGCTAGCGGAGCGATGGACGCTTAAGTTGAAAATCACATCGAATTTGCGATTGTGGAAATAAATATTCTTTTGCTTTTAATTAAGCTAACATTATTGACGTATGATAGTGATACTAGAAACGTTATAATACATTTAAAATGGTTGAAGCAAGTAAGTTATGGTTTGAGACGGCCTGTAGCCATGCTCCGTGCAATACTTTGATTCATCCTTGGACTTCTACATGTAAGGATGCCACGGCAACGATGCTTCTTAGTTGTATTAAAGGCAGTTATAAATTCTACGCTATGGTGTATCTTGTAAGTTAATATATTTGTCTGTAATTAAAAATAAAGATAGTGTTTAGTACATAACACTTGATTTAGCTTGTTGGGCATATAAGTGTGCATTTACCTATTGGCAATTAAAAAAATCGTGCCGAATCCAAAACTAGGTTTTGGATATTCGAGGGACAAAAACCTGTTGCACCGACCCTACGGGAGTAGGATAAAGAGGAAGATGATGACTCGGGTACAAATAATGCAGAAGGAATATCATAAAACATAGACATTTAAGTAATCTCAATAAAATGATATAACAAAAAATAATTGATTTATGTTTAGTATGGTCCCTTTAGTATTAAATTTTTAATTATAAGTGTAATGTGTAACATTAGAATTTTTTTCAATAAAGACTTTGGGTTGCATTTAAACTTATTGGTGTAATTTTTATCAATAAAGATTGATTTATCATGTTTAGTCAAATGTTATCTTGTTACTTACTGTATAATGCAATAATTCTTTACAATTGATAATGATGATTATCCTTTACCCTTGACCAATTTATAAAAAAATAAACTTTAAAAAAATATTAAAAACAAAGTAATGGTACTACATTATTTAAATGTACTTAGGTGAAAAATTCTGACCATAGATTATGTGTACATGTTTTGTAATTAGAAGTCTATTACTTTTTTAACATTAACCAGTACAACTTAGGGTCCTTTAAGAGTGTATACTATTTTCTCAAAGATCGGCAACACTTCTGTAGTTCCTCTGGCATTGGGGATGTCTATGGACTTTGTTACCACTGTTCATTTACTCCCCTTTTCGCATTTTAAATAAATACATAAAATCAATTCTCTATTGTAATATGGTTAGAGATTTCTTTTTTCAATTCCATAAAATGTTGACTATCTATTGAATATATAAAAATGCTTTAAGACTATTATATGTATCATATTTGTTCACAGATTCAAATATTAATGAGAGGCAAAAAATTGGGCAAAGAAGAAATGATTGAGCAATTCAAATTGTACTTAAAATCGGGGATATTTGGCTTGACAGTAGGAAGTTCTTTTGTGACATTGAATTGCATATTTAGGTAAGTTTGTATCCGAATTTTATTCTATTTCTGGAATAAATTTATTACCATACTTATAATACTGTTAAATTATATTTAATCTGTACCAGAGCTTTTATCTTTTCAAGCCTAATATGTTAGATGTTTCCTAAATGGAATCGGAACACAATTAAATCTTCATGTAAACATTTAACAATGTCTCAATTGTAACAATTGATGTTGTAACTGTGTTTAATAAAATTAGTCCAATGTTGAAATAACAATTTGACAATGAGGACATTGATCGAAATTTATTTAGTACTATCCTGCAACTCTGTTAGTGTTGAATTGAAATAGATTCTACAGACTATCTTATTCAGTGATATTTACTTTCTAATAAAACATGATTAAAAATGGTCATGTAGTTTTTGTGTTACATACAATGATACAAATGTTTCCTCTTCATAAAATTAGTAAAGATAGACAATTGATATATTTGGTAAATAATTTCAGACAATGCTAAGTTGAGGACAATATGCTTATTAAATAATATAAATTATGTGTATGAATAATCACAATTTACATAATGTTGTAAAAAATTTAAGTATTCATTTAGATATGTATGTATTTTATAATGAATTATTATAATAATGTTATGTAAATTTAAATTCAAGGATGTTGGCATATATGGCTTTATTCATCGTTAATTTTTTTTTTAAATCTTGACTTAATTTTCTTTTGCTTATATTATAAGGTTGAGAGACAGTTTGCCCTCAGCACACTCTTTAGTGGTCTCTACGCTAATCCCCATCCCATCTTACTAATATTATAAATGTTGTAAGTTTAGATTTTAGATGGATCTTTGTAAGATGGTATCTCCTAAACAGCTTTACAGATCTTAATTAAATATGGCATATCTATATCTATAGAGCACAGTCTGGGAGCTCACAAAGGCTAGGTAACCATTTTTTAGCTCTGCGCGATGTCGCGGGCGACAGCCAGTTGCTTCATATATTTACCACTGTTATGTTGTGTATGTACATGTATGTACCTCTCCCATCTCTCTCTCTCTCCCTCTCCCTCTTTCTCTCTATTCCGTATTTTAAGATTATTGGTATTATGATAAATCTATCTAATTATACTTCTATAGGATTCTATAGGATATGGCGTAGGATGTCAGCAATCACAGCATATTTTTGAATAATACTTTTTTTTAATAAGAAAGCCCTACACTTACGACACGTTTAACGCTACATATTTTCACGTTTTTTTAATTTAGGGGGTGAATAATTTGGAAGGGGCTGAATAATGCGAGAAGCCTAAGAGGAATAGTTAGTTTTTAATAAATTTCTCGTGTGTCTTTAGGGCGTTATTCTTCAGCCAGTTCAATTACTATACGACTGTGTTGCTGCCGTGCACGGTGAGCGGACTTGCGGTTTACTTCGAACCGCCTTACAGAAGAGTTATGGTTGTCAATCTTTTCGTCAACTTGGTGAGAATTCTTATCATCTTATACTATGCCATAAAATGCCTGGCTGAAGACACATGTTACAAGTCTATACGATAAAAAAACAATCTTGGAATATATAAACATTCTCCGTTTCTGATTTTGCACCTATTATCCTCGGTTAGGCCAACTCTGGCGTCACAATGTTCCCTGTTTCGTTACTCAGTTACTATAAGGATGTTTACCTGATTGATATTTATGTTTACAATCAAGTTTTGACATGATTTTCCTGTCGAATTAACCCGTTTATCAAAACAGTTGTTTTGTAACAATATGTAGTTCTGAAATTTTCCCTTTTCAAAAATCATTGATATGTTAGATACCACAATAGTTGTAGATGGTATTAATAAGTATGTGCGCGCACCTTCGACTAAAATATCGCACAACTTTTTGGTGGTACTTTGATTCCTATGAACTTATAAGGAGGTGGGCACACGGTTCGCTTTTTAATTGTGCAACTAAACAGTTGAATGGGCTGCGAAACAATCTACAGTTGTGCACTCACTCTAATATAATAATGTATCTTATACTGAATTATTTTCATGGTCATTGGGATTTTTTTGTTACAAAAACAATAGAAAAATATTGAGGAAGTGCTCTGCAAAGAGGCATATTAAGAAACATAATCTATACAAAATTAACCACGCGTATTACTTGTATACCATACAAACTTTACGACGGCTCGCAAATTCGTTTGACATTGAGCACAATAGACTTGAGTGTCGGGATAACGAGATGTTGAATATTCAGATATGATACAAAGTTTGAATCTTATAATACTTTATATTTGATATTTATTTTTAATAGGTATTCGAATATTGGGTAAGAACATTAGAAATGAAAGGATGGCTTAGACGGACACCAGGAAAAGAAACTCTAATCTTCATGTTTGGTAGTGCCGTTTTCTTCTATTTGATGCGAAAAGAAAGAGAGAATAGTAAACGAACGCCGTTGTTTTGGTACGTATTAGTTTAATATCATTATGTTTACAGAAGAAAAATTAATTCACAGAGGTCCTTTTTTCTCAAACTTAAAGGTTCTTTACACCGCCGAGAGTATCGAAAGAAGTTGGCAAACCAATGAAAGGCATCAGTGGAAGGAGTCTTGCTTGTCCTCACAAAGGAAACTGCATGAATTATATTCTAAGGGTAAGTGATATACTAGGGCGTCCGTGGCTCAGGGGTTGAAGCACTTGATTTGTAATCTACAGGTCTTGGATTCGAATCCCGCCAACTACCTATGGTATTTTCGTTTTTTCGAATTTTCATACGTACATAATTTACCCGACATTCTTACGGCGAAGGAAAACATCGTGATGCAACCTGCACATATCGGAGAAGAAATTCAAAGACATGTGTGAAGTCAAACAACCCGCACTGGTCCAGCGTGCTTGAATAAGGCCTAGTCATCCTAACTTAGGGTTGGCTCCGAACCCCGTAACTACGTCTGCGCGGAATAAAAAAGGGGAAAAGAATATCGTGTGTTATTCCAGACTATTGTGTACCACTGGTTTTATAGATGGAATTTTTTTGTTTGACAAAAATCTTCCCATTATTTTCCCTATGACGTTAGTATTTTACGTATTGCGTAAACATATTTTGTTTATAACTGGGATGAATACTTGTACAGTTTCCTCGATTGTCTTGCGTAAGGATAAATAGTTGTTTTGTCATTAGTTCTACCTTATTATCTGGTTAATTGTTACATATCTTTGCATTTTAATAAGGCCGGTTATGTACTAAATCATAAAGCTTAGTTAAAATATTCAAATCCGTTTTAATGAGGATTTATATGATTCTTCTATACGTCATTACAAATATCATAACGACTCAAGGTCATGTGCTGCGTATTATGCCCCCCTGCCCACCCTCTACACCCTTGTAGTCTGCACAGCGAGTGACAGGATATTCTGAGCGGACAAAATGTTTGACAACCTTAATACTTACTACAATTATAGTAATTATTATTTCATTTTAATGTTTTAATATTAACTAGCTGTCCCCGAGCGACTTTATCCGCATAAAATTATAAAAAAAATCATTGTATTGTTCACATTTGTCAAATTATACATTCCAAATGTCAAAATGTCATGACATGATGTCAAACCATGGCAAACTTGCTTCCTTGATGTTGGCAACAACTTATGGTCTCTTTCCCACATTAGGAAATATTATATCCAAAATATTTACTCCCAAAGTTTAATGGCGTTAAAATATATAGCCTAAAGCGTAACGCAATTGTAGGGCTTTTTATTAAAAAAAAAATATTCAAAAATATGCAGTAATTACTGACATCTTAGGCAACAAAGAAGTGTGTGTTTACGCTTTATTATAATAGTATAGATTTGAAACGTGAAGTTTAGTACTTAGTTTTATTACGTTATTTATAAAATACATAATTATTTTGCGTAAGAGCTAATTCTTCCTTCATATTATATGCGAAACTTTTAATGGATGGATGTTTGTACTTGTCTGGTTTAACAGATCTCGATTATATTTTTAGGACATGATCTGGAAGAATACGTAGGCTACTAAGTTTTATTTTTTATTGTGGTAGTCCGTCCTCTTCGCCTAGTTGTTTGGGTTTACAGGCTTGTGTTAAAGTATAAATCCTAAAAAACACAAGGTTTTTTACTGTATAATGTTAAAGTTGTTATTAAAACTGCATGATTTTTTATAAGTAATTGCTTTACCTAATTAACTTGCAGAGAAAAAATAATGAACTATTTTACGTACTTTATACGCTGCAAGGCCAGATTCAATAAAAAACAAAACGAAATACATTTTTGAAACACAAACTTCTGGCGTCTTGAATAAATTCATCACAAAATAATTCAAGGCAAAGATACAAATATTAATTTTGATTTAGTTGAAAGATTTGTAATCAAATATTAATTAAAAAAATGTCAAGTTATGTTAAAATAATATGCATTTTTATGACTAAAGCAATAAAGAATATTTTGTTAGTCAAAACGGACCTCAGTTTTAGATTAAATTCAATCAATAATTTAAGCGCCTGCTGTTTTGGAGGTACCGACTACCGATCTTACGGTCGAGGGTTCGAATCCCACTATTCGACTATTGTCGGAACCATAGCCCAGCACAAGCCTAGAACTTAGTTGGTGTGGTTAAAGGAAATATTAGTAAATTAACAAAAATCTACTAATATTTAAAAAAAAATCACTGTACAGTAGCGTGATAATCAAAATGCGTTCGACTTTTATGGTTAAGTAATTTACGTATTAAAATCGTGACAGTTTTCTTGGCCTTGACGCATTAATATCTGTCTATTCACAATTGTACACACATACGTTATTTTCAAACTATTATTACTGTAGAATACAAGAAAACTTGACTTTAAAAAGTTTTTTTTATCTATTGTTGTTTGATCTCAGCTATACGTCCCCACTTTCGGAGCTCAAAGGGTGACTATGCCATAGTCAAACACGGTTGCCCTCTTAAGGTTAACTTCACACATCTCAGAATTTCTTTGCAGATATGTGCAGGTTGCTTCGGGTAAATGTACAAATGAAATTCAAAAAACTCATTGGTACATGTCGGGATTCAAGCACGTGAATTGTAATTTAGGCCAGGACCTAAAGTACATTTCATGTGCTTAACTATTGAGCCACCAATGCTTTATTAATATATCATACACTAACTGTTGTTCGTGACTTCGTCTATGTGGGAATAAAAAAAATTAAAGAATATGGCCTATGTTGCTCATAGATAACAAAGCATTTTAAGGGAGGAAAAGTAGATTTGACGGTGGAGGAGAAGCATAGGAAGGGGAGATGTCCCCTTTATATGCGTCTCCTCCTCTGTCAATTAAGGGCAGCGGTCTCTTTCCATTTAGGTGGATTCAGGTGGCCGCTGGCTCGTTTGCCACCCTATATTATGTAAAAAAAAAAGTGTTAATGTTTTACATTCCAGGGTACAGTACAACTATTCGGGGTAGGTTGTGCTATGACAATATTGCGCACAATAATTCCTAGAATTCTGACGCCGGCGAAAGCGCTGAAATCATTGAGGCTATCTCATCTCAAGCTTGGCTTGTTCTTTGGTGGTTACATCGGTATTTATAGGGTAAGTGCGAACATATTCTTAGCATGGTACTATCAGGGAAATTTGAGGTGTTCCATCTTAAACGCTACAATTGTTTGAGCATTGAAACGAGACGCGGAATAAAAACCAATAACGCAGGCCTAATTTTGAGTCACTCTCCTTTTCCACCCTTTTCTTATAAGGGAATGACGGGAGGGAACAGTGAATATAATGGTGGAGGAAGGCATAGGTAGGGGAAATATCCTCTTTATGCGCGTCTCTTCCTCCGTCGCTTCGCCATTTTGGCGGACTCAAGTAGCCGCTTCCTCGTTTGCCATCATATGGTAAATTATAGCTTGTAACTATATCTGTATGAAAAAAAGACGGTTATTGATACACGGTAGTTTCTTTTTATTATTATCCCTTCGTTTGCACTCTCTGCCATTTAATTAGTTCTTCTTAGGAAGAGGTGGAGATGGTTTCGTTGCAATGAACAAGGCAATTTTTCCTATGTGGAACACTGCGGATTTCCACGACTGTACGTTTTATTTAAAACTTAACTTCTGTGAAATTTGTATTGACACATGACCCTTATTTTTAAGGAGAAAGAAAGAGATGACAATATATGTCATGGTACAGAAAGCTACAGTAAAATGTTATTAAAACAAGTAACCAGGGTTATATAATTTAGTGATACAATAAAAATTTAAACGTAGTGTAAATGTGTATAAATTATTTCTTTGTGAATTATGACAGTTGCGCAGTTTGCAATGTAAAAGAAAACTTTTAAAATTCAACATTCGACATGTTGAATAATTTTGCATAATTGAAAATTTACAATTTGTGAAATATATTTAATTTTATTACTTTAATATATCATAAATTTTAAAATATAAGCGTACATCCGTTTAATGCTACTGCTTTTTTTTTTTTTAACTGACCGTGAATTAAAAATTACATGACCAGTATTTTCTTCGTTTATGTATTTAATTACCGTGGTATTATTTCAGCTGGTGGTTTGCTTACTGTGTCGGGCGTACGGCAAAGACAGTGCACTATACGCGCTGCCCGCGGGTTTCCTCGCTGGCGCCGCCTTCAGAGCCTCGCCGTCCTTGCCAATCTCACTCGCACCTTTAACGTCTACATTACAGGTAACTTACATTTGACTATAACATATTAAAAAAAATAATTTATTGTTTACATTTGTAAAACTTTCAAATTGGGTTGGATACGAATTACCGTTACCATGGCAACCTTGCTTGGTTGATGTCAGCTTGTAGTTTATGGTCCTTTTCCAACGTGAAGGTATTTTTTCAATTGATTCCTCACCTCCTAAGTTAAATAGTGTGAAAATGTATAGCCTAAAACATGGCGTTAGTACAGATTTTTTTTTAAGGAAAGGAATTTTAAATTTTAAATGCAAAAGTTTAAATGACTGAACTGATTTCGATAAAATTTATTGTTGATGTAGAGGATAGTGTAGTAAAACACATAGGCTATTTTTTTAATTCCACGCGAAGAGTCGCGGACGCAAGCTAGTATTATAAATGTGCCTTTTCAAATAGAAATATGTTTTGATATACCTTTAGATCCTGGGCTCGTGGGGTTACCAGAAAGGTTTAATCCCGGAGCAATGGCCGCTGGTGGAGTTGCTGTACTGCGTGTGCCAAGGCCTGCTGTTCCACGCGCGCGTCATGCATGAAGATGTCTGCCCCCGGTACATCATCAACCTGATGACCACCGTCACCAGCACCAAGTGAGTATACAGCTGTTCTATTAGTTTTGTAGCCGACATCGAACGGTCCAACGGGAAAAAATCGGCCCAGCGGGAAAAATCCCTTTTTATTGTTTATTATTTTTTACTGTACTTTTCTTGACATGTTGCGACCAAATAGTATTAACAGTGATGTGTTAAACTCGAAAACTATTTGCATTTTTATTTACATTGTCGATAATATACTCTTCTGTTAGTAGAGAAAAATTAACACAATTTTTTCCATGATTAGAATCTTTTAGACATTTGTAATATCTATGTCATTAATGTATGGTTGTTTTTTTTTATTTCAGAGCGGATCAAATTCAAGCGGCCTTCATACAGAGAATGCTGCGGTCTTTATAAATTTAAGAGAAACTTTTATCGTTATTAAAACATTTGTAAAACGCGACAGCTTTACAGTCAATATTAATTTCAAATTGAAATTAAGAATTTGCCGTTTAACCATTTATCGATATTTATATCACATCACTATAGCGTGAATTTCAGTTGGCACGTTGCCAGGTACAGTACGCTAGGTTCTGGCGTGCCAAGTCATATACTTTCTCTAATGCCAGGTTTCTGAATTTTCCATTTATTTAATCATTACCAAGTGATTCATTAGTGTTTTGTTAATCTAAGTTTCAACGGAATAAAACTCAAGTAACTTAATTCGGAACCTAGTTTTATGAATATATCGAATCATAAGCAAAAGTAGTTCGGAAACCGACCATTAGTAGTTCTGGAAGCTGTCGCGTAGTGAAGGGACGCAAGTCTGTGATTTTGTTTTAGGTAATGGATTTTCATTATAGCACATTTTTGGGGATAATTGGATTACTGGTTAATTCTTTTGTGCAGTCTTTACAAGCGTTTGATTGAATTCAACTTTAGAATTTAATATTATTCCATAAAATAAAGGAGCAAATTATTCGCGTAAACCAGTGTTGTTAAAGTTAAGTCTATACGGTCAGTGATCGTTTTAACTGAAAAATAGAACTGTTCAGTTAAAACTTTTAAGACAAAACTCTAACTGAACAGTTCAACTGGGAGTTAAAAATTTTCAACACACGCAGTTTTTCATCCGTTAAAAATTAGCGTCTGTTTTGGCTTTAAGTAACTAGATATTATATTTAAGAATTGGCACAATTAGTGTATTGGCTTTATTAAGATTTTTGGGCAATAATTATTTAGGACTTCCTATGTATCACTTTAAATGTACTAGGGAAAGGTAATAACAACGTCTAAACATGACAATCTATTATAGCATTTAAAAAGTAGTTCCTTATTTTTAAGTAAAGCAACGTTAATGCTATACATATGTTTATATGCATAATTCTATGTAAGTCTTATTAGATTTTTGCTTACAATTTCACATAACAACCAAAAAACGGCGCTTGCTACGTTTGCCCCGACCAGGAGCAAAGGGCGGTATTGCCCCCCCCCCCCC